GGCCCAATGAACGGCCTCGGCACCCACTAGAGAAACCCTCCGGTACTCTCTTTGAGCGCGTCTCGGGACCGCTAGCCGACCCCCAATGAGCGGGTACGGGCCTCCACCGGACTTACCGATAATGACTCACCGGAAGTGTCATCGCTCGCGCCCACCGAGGGTAGCGTGGCACATTCCACCCTCCTTCCGAGCGAAAAGGAAGCGAGGGTCGAATAAAAAGTCGGGAGAATCCACGACGGCCCTCTTGCTCCGTCAAGAGAGGCTAAGGGACTCTTCTGCAAAAGCGTTGCCGAGGCCCAGTGACTTGAGCTCGCATTACACGAGGGGTCTCGGCAAAACCAACCCTCCTTCCGAAGCGAAAAAAGAAAGCGCGAGGGTCGTTCAAAAAGCCGGAAGAACTCCCGACGGCCCTCTTGCTCCGTCAAGGCAGAGGCTAGGGAGCTCCTTACGCAAAAAGACACCGAGACCCCATGACCTAGGCTCGCACCCGAGGGGGGCTCGGCGATCAATTCCCTCACGCTGGCGTGGGGGCGAACCAAAAGCAGGGGACCTCGACCGCTCTCTCGCTCCGTGCGAGAGACTGGGGCTCCTCCTGCAACTTTGCCGAGACCAGTGGCTCAGGCTCGCCACACGAGTGGGCTCAAGAACAGACCCCGTCCCGAGCGAAAAGGGCCAGGCGGGGCGGGCAAAAAAGTCGGGAGGACCCACGACCAGCCCTCTCGCTCCGCGTCGGAGGCTCGGGGGCTCTTCCCGCACCCAAGATAAAAACAAGCGACCCGATCCTGTTACGGTCCGGGGTTCAAAGCTGGGCCCCGAGGGTTTCGGCAATGCCCAGGCAAAAGAGTCGGGGGCGACTACGGGCGAGCCTGTCTGAGCAGCATACATGTTGTGTCCAAGACCGGTAGGAGGTCTCTCGAATGGGATCCCACCGTAGGGAGGCACCGAGCCACCAAGGCCCAGTGAACGGCCTCGGCACCCACTAGAGAAACCCTCCGATACTCTTGGAGCGCGTCTGGGACCGCTAGCCGACCCCGGCCGAATGGGGTACGGGCCTCCACTCGGACTTACCCGATATGTGACTCACCGGAGATACCATCGCTCGCCCACCGAGGGTAGCATGGCATCTTTCACCCCTCCTTCCGAAGCGAAAAAAGGAAGCACGAGGGTCGTAAAAAAGCGGGAGAACCCCGACGGCCCTCTCGCTCCAGGCGGAGGCTAAGGGGCTCTTTCCGCAACATCGTCCGAGGCCCCGCGATCCGAACTCGCACCCACGAGCCCGGCAAAACACGATCAAAAGCGCCTCACTCGAAGAAAAAGCCCCTCAAGAAGTGAAATCACTCCTCCAGGGCCTCGGTTAGACTACACGGCCGTGGCCGCCGCACCCACCGAAACCTCGAAAACAAAACACCATCCCGGCAGGGAGCTATCAAGAGCCAATTCTCGTCCGGAACCTCGGGGAGCGCCTCCACTCCCCCAAGGCTCGGGGGCTACTTGTCGGACACCAGAGAAGGGGTACCCTAAGCAAGATCCAAAAAAACGATTGCTTAGATTTTGTAAAGATCGAAACCATTTAATGTTGCTGGCCTCTCGCCGATTCTCCGACTCGCTTGAGGCCCCATCACTGCTGGCCTCGGCCGATTCTCCGACTTCTTGGAGGCCTCATCATCATGGGCCTCGGCCGATTCTCCGACTCGCCCGAGGCCACCGACCCTCAAATCTCGCGCAAGGCGGGCTCGGAAGACTCCGCTACCTCTTCCTTCTCCGTCCCTCGGCAAAGCGTCGTGTCGCATCAACTCGATAGCTAATCGCTGCCTCGACAACAACCGCATGCCGCAAGATCAAGATGAGAATGGCCGATGGGGACAGAGGCGAGGACTAAGCGGGGTTACCCGCCATCGTACTAACCACCGTGCACATGGGTTGGCGCCCATGCCTCACTATCTTGCCAACTCTGCACCGAGGACAATGCAGCGTGGGGAGCCACATCTGGCTACTGTGGCCTCGGAATCGCACCCAGAGCAATAATTCCCTCCAAGGCCTCGGCGGCTTGCTCCGAGGGGCTCGACAACCCGAGGACCCATGTCCGCCAAAGCCCCCGCATGATGGCTTGGCCTCGGCACCCTCTGAGCCACAACCCTACGACGCGTCATCACGCGATGACTGCCGTCCCCTGGTGGGCGGGGGTTACCGTCACTATGCTATCCACCGTGCACATGGTTGACACCCATGCCCATCTGTGTCCGCCAACTCCTGCTCCAAGGACAACGCAAGCATGGGGAGCCACGTCTGAAGCTATTGTGGTCTCGGAATCGCACCTGTGGCCAATAACTCCCCCAAGGCCTCGACAGTTTGCTTCACGGGCTCGGCACTGAGGGTCCATGACCACCGAGCCCCCACGATGGCTCGGCCTCGGCATCTCAGAGAGCCATTGCTCCCACGACGTCATTACACGGCGACCAAAGACGTCGCCCGCCATGTCCGCATCAAGCCGTCTTTGGAGCTCCACGACGCACAAGACCGAAAGTATGACCGGCATGTCACTTCCGCGCATGACAAGGATGGGGCCACTCCATCGACCATACCACCACAAGTGGTGGCCGACACTGAGGCTCGGACACGCCACCCCATTCTGAAGCGCTATGTAGCACCCTGTGCACGGTCCCGGTCCTCCCTTAGAGTATAAAAGGGAGGATCTGGGCCATTTCGAGAGAGAGGCGGAAAGACGAACGCGCCGATAGAACCACGCACTCCCACGTTGCTTGGGAACAACGCCTCAAGCAGCCCGCCGCACCACACTCGCCGAGACACAGGGGCTAGTTCCTCTCTCACCTAGCTTGTAACCCCTACTACGAGCACTCCGGTGCAAGGAATACAAGATCGATCTCTCGGACTGGACGTAGGGCCTCGATTGCCTGAACCAGTATAAACCTTGTGTCTCTTTGCGCCACCATCCGGGATTAGGGGCACGCAGCACAAATTCACTCGTTGGTTGAGGGACCCCCGGTTCCAAAACACCGACAGTTTCGCTTTCACAAGTGGGAACAACTTAATTTCGGAGCTTGACTTTTATGGTAACAACATGTATGTTTAGGCGCCAAAAGGATTCTACCTTTTGTTCTTTTTAATATGTGAAAACAATGAAGATGATTTTCTATAAATAACTCGCTCAATTCCCTCTTTCATTTTTGCGTGTAAACCATTTTGATTTTACAAGGGCAGACACAAGCACTATATTTCAGTCCATTTTCATATTTTTACATATACGATAAAAAGAGTTGGGAAACAAGCGGATTAATGTATATAGTTAGCATTATATGGCTAATAGCTATATTTATAATTCTCACTAGCAATAACATGATTTTATAGATCACTGTACATAAGATACTCTATCTCTTTAATATACAAATCTTCATAAACAAAAGAGCCCATCAATCTCTTATTTGGATAGAGTCACACATGACAAATTGAAAAGGGTAAGAAGATAATCAAATTTTCATAGGTTTCATAACCTAAAAACTACAAACCTAAAAAGGAACGTATTAGTAGTCACGTAGTTTATCGTCACTTGATTGAAATCTAACAGTTCAACTAGCAGCAATATTCATCATTTTCTTTATGACCTCTTCGATAACGTCACAAGTTCACAACCCTCTTTTCTACACACATTAGGCTTGTTTCCTCTCATCGTTGGTGGCGAGGCTACTGCTGGATCTACAGATGCCATTTTCTCCATACAAACATGGCATTGTCATTGTAAGTTTCAAAATGTTGGACTAGAAGGAAGTAGTGCAATAAAATGTAACTAATTCGATAAGATCGGAAGAAGTTATCGCTATTGCTCTACTTTGACATAGGATCACATCACCGTTCTTCCATTGAGTTCAGAATGCTTGTCCTAGGGCCTCCTTACTTGGAGGTAGGGGGCCTGTTCGGTAGGACTGAAAAATACTGTTCCGGCTGATTGTTGTGAGAGAAAAATACTATTCTGGCAGGACATGAACAGTAATTTCGTGAGAGAAAAAACAAGCCAGCCGGCTGGCTTAAAGCCAGCCGAACAAGCCCAGGAAAAGTTAGCCTATAATACCTGTCACCATGATAATGCTTGTCCTAGGGCCCTCCTTACTTGGAGGTAGGAAAAGTTCGTCATAGGAGAAAGAGTCTTTCTCTAAAATCCTAAGTAAAGCTTTGCAGAAGTAGGAATTTCTAAAGAAATAAGTCTTGCTTAGAAGAAAAGGCAATTTGATTGTTGTAAAACTAGAGGAAAACTCATTCTCAAGTATCCATCTGATATATGTCTACTATCCATAGCTGGTTGCATCTCTCTATTATCTCGTCAGTCGTCACTCTACTCTACGTCTACCTAGCTGGCTCCTAGAACCTCATTCTATACTTGTCGGGATCAAATTCTCCACGATCACGAAATGCAAAATGTCATGGAGCTAGAAGCTCCTAAATCGCAGCCGAATCTAGGAGACGCGCATAAAAATCATGACAACTCTAACAAAATCCTGCGTCATTGCGTGAACACAGCATCACGTGTTCGGCTGCAAAAGGCCAAAGGGCCCAGGTGTCAGACTCATCCACCCGCCGATCCACGGCATCACTCATCCGCCACATCCGCACTGGCGCAAATCCTTAAGCTCACCCAGGAACGAACTCCCCGTCTTCCTCCCCACCACATCCCCTCCGCTCCGCTCCGCCCACCAAAGCAAAAGCAACCCAGCCCGAGTCCCCCCAATTTCCCTTCTCTTCCCCGGCGACGTCCCCACGCCCGCCGCCCCGCCGAGATCGACGTCCTCTGCGCCGCTACGCTGCCCCTCCCGTGCCCCACGCCACCTCCCCAGCTCCCCCGTACCGTCGCCCGCGCCGAACCCTCGCCATTCCGCGCCGCGAGGTATCCGCCCCACTGTACCTCTAGTGTTAATGCTTTTCGGGGGTGCGGTGGTGTGGCGCACGCGCGCGCAAGAGGGTGTGTGTAAATAGTCTACTAGGGGCAGAGCATGGGGGCGGGTTCGAAGAGGCGGGCCACCGGGGCTCAAAACCCTAGCCTCGAGTCCGACGAGGAGGAGGCGCGGCGGGTCAAGGAGGAGCTTGCCGACGACCTCAACGGATACCCTGCGGAGGAGGAGGAGGAGGACGAGGTTGTCGTGGAGGACGATGAGGTGGTCATCCCCTCCGACGACGAGGAGGACGGTGGCGGCGGGGACATCGTCTTCGTCCCCAACACGCTGGAGGAGGCCCTCGTGCCGCGGGTGGGCATGGTGTTCGACTCTGTCGACGAGGCCTTCGCGCTATACAAGGCCTACGCCTACCGCACGGGGTTCCATGCCGTGCGCCGCACTTGCCACAACTACGAGGGGCAACGCTACCGCTCCACCTTCACCTGCACTTACGGCGGCAAATCTGGGACGGGCGCTGCCCCATCTGACGTCACAGGTACCCGCTACCCACACCCGCAGCAAGCGGGGTCGGCTACCAAGGAGAAGAAGTCTCACCGTGGCACCACCACCGAGAAGACGGGATGTAAGGCGATGCTGATCATCCGGGACAAGCGGGTGGATGGAAGGTGGAAGGTGGAGTCTGTCGAATTGGAGCATAACCATCCTTGTACTCCAGATATGGTGAGGTTCTTAAAGGCGTACAGGGAGATGCCTGAGTCAGCAAAAGAAGAAGGCCAAGATTACCGATGAGATGGATGAGATGGTGGAGAAGTCGCTGAGCGAGATTGCTGAGACAAGGAAGTTCCCGACCACGACCCAAGAGGGGTGCTAGCGTTGGGGCTGCTGTTGGTAGCCAGAGGTTTAGTAGGCTCGAGAGTTTTGTGCAGCGTTTTGGGGAGGATGACCTCAATTTACTCAAGAAGTTCATTGAGAAGATGCAACACAGGAAACCGAACTTTATCCACAGCTGGGATCTTGATCGGGAAAGTCATGTGAAGAATTTCTTTTGGACTGATTCTAGGGCCCAGGCGCAATACCGCTACTTTGGCGATGTCATTACACTTGACGTGATGTATTTACAGCACTCACGCGCCAGCCTCCCATTAGCCACACTCCTTGGGGTGAACAACCATGGCCACCTTGTGCTTCTTGGCTGTGGTCTCCTGTCCAGCGACAGCAGGGAGAACTATGTTTGGTTGTTGAAGAGGTGGTTGAGCTGTATGAATGGCAAATCGCCAGAAGCGATCACAACCGGCTATTCAGATGTCATCGCAGAGGCCATGGCTGAGGTGTTTCCAAATGCAAGGCACCGCTTCTGCTTTTGGCATATCTTGAAGAAGCTACTTGAAAACGTGGGACGCACACATGAGAAAGAGGCAATTTCCTCAAGGTTCAAGGAGGTTGTATATGATAGCGTCACTCTTACCGACTTTGAAAAAGAGTGGGGAGCAATGGTCGACCACTATAATCTCAAAGACAACGAGTGGTTCTCTGCTTTGTACAGCTGTCGGAAGCAGTGGGCACCTGGGTATGTCAATCATTCATTCTGGGCTGGCACCTCTGCTATCAGGAAGGCTGAAAAAACTGATCCATACTTTGATAGTGTTGTGAGTAAAACCACCCTTTCAGTTTTCCTTGAGCAATATGAGACTACTCTGAAAGAGAAGTTGGAAAGGGAAGCATATGATGATTTGCGCTCATACTATTCTAGACTCATTTTGTTGTCGGGATTGCCCTTTGAGGAGCAGCTTGTGGAGCTCTACACAGTAACCATGTTTCAAACGTTCCAAGATGAGATTAAGCAATTGATGCATGTTATTTGTAAAGAGGTAGACAGAAGTGGGAACTCAATTACTTACATGGTCAGTGAGTTAATACAGGGAAAGAAGGTTGACTATACAGTTGTTTACGACAATTCTGACAAGGATGTTTGGTGCATTTTTGTCGCTCCTTTCCCTCGAGGGGTATTCTTTGCAGCCATGCTCTGGCTGTTCTGAAGCAAGAGAATGTACTGATGCTGCCGTCAAAGTACATCCTGAACCGCTGGAGGAAGGATTTTAGGATACTTAATTCATCTGCAAATGCTAATTTTATGGAATCAGATAGGAATCTGGGTATTTATGATGACCTCTATTTTCGTGGCCATGAGTATTTTGAAGATGTCATTGACATTGGAGCAAGAGAACCTGAGCTGAAGGAGTTTGTGTTGTCAGCCATGAAGGAAGCAAAGGACAGACTGATTAGGCCTGATCACAGCCAGCAAGTTGATCAACGGGTTGATGTAAATATGACTGTGACTGGTCAGGTGTCTGCAGATACAAGAGTTGATATGAACATGGCATCACACACCTCAGCTCTGATTCAGGGGATAGAAGGGTTGATGTGGACATAGCACCAAATGCGCCAGCCTTAGTCCATGGTGATACCACGACATCAAATGCCACTGCCCTGATTCATAGGGACAGAAGAGTAGAGATGAAAATGCCTACAACTCACCTTATTCATGGAGAGGGAAGACTTGACATGAACATGGCATCTCCTCACTTGATGCAGAGGGAAAGGAGAGTGGACATGAACATGGCGTCACCTCACCTGATACAGGGGGACAGAAGAGTTGATATGAACTTGGCATCACCCCATTTTATACACAGTGACAGAAGAGTTGATATGAACCTGGCATCGCCGCATTTGATACATGTGGACAGAAGGGTTGATATGAACATGGCATCCCCTCACCTGATGCAGGGCGACGCCAGAGTGGATATGAATATGGTATCAACTTCTCAGAATGGGATGCACACTTTTGATTTGGTGAATATAAACCTGGAGAGTGGCTCTTTGCCGATGGCCGCAACAGATTTTATGCAAATGCATCCACACCCAGCAGTTTACCATCCCAAACAACTTCTTGATATGAGAGATCAGGTGATGGATGCAAATAAGAGACCAAATATGGAAACTAACACTTATTTTATAGGAGGTGGCATGCATGTGGGGTAATTTGATTGTCTACTTCTGTAATCCTTTATGTTCGGAATTCAGAGAGGGCATCCTTCCTTTACATCAACATGTAATCATGTATGTTCTTAGAGCTGGCAGTACAACTAAACAGCTAGGCTTTAGTATTGCAGATCAGACTTGACTGTTGATAGCTCTATTGTAACCTGTTACCTTTTTAGCAGTTGTAGCAAGCTGGATGCCCATTATCTTGTGCATAATGAATTACCCGTCTTATCATCTTGTTAGCAATTTGTAAGTGAGACGCCTTTAGTTGCAAGATTCTGCTGACATTTCTTGTTTCTTTTGTTGACTGATGATATATTTTTGCTGCATGCCTATCTTGCAACCTGTTTCTTATGGTTAGTGCATGTGTAATTTGATCTGCCATTTTACATTTATTGAGCCCATAATCTATGCATGGGAAATGAAATATTATTTTTTGTTTACTATGATTATGCAACTTGATAGTCTGTTAGCAGTCTGTTATAAGTTGATTGGCTTCTCTATCTCTTTCTTGGTAATGTGTTTCTTTTGAGACAATTGGTGAAAGATCAGGAAAGGGAAATTTTGGCTGTAGCTGTGTTACAACAAGATGTACCTTGTTAATTTTTATTGTTCAGAGATGGTGATTTTTACAGCTCTCCGTTGCACATAAAGGCTCTAGATCATCAGTGGACATGTCCTATTATTGCTTGTTGCTGATTGCTTTCTTTTTAATGAGCTGTGAGGCAATAGTTGCCCTGTTTATATTGACATACCACTTTTGATCCATTTCCAGTTAATATCGACTGCAGTTTTCCATGTTTGGTTAAAACTATTGTCCTGGACTCCTTTGGTTTAAACAAGTTGAATGTATTATGATGTACTTGATCTCTTGTTGGTTCCTTTTGGGATTTTTCGAAATCCCATTGAAACTTTCTTGTCAATTTGTGTTCTTCTATCATTGAGGTGCAGCAAGATAGAAATGGATGATCATCGTTGTGACATGCACTGCTAAGGGCTAATTTGGAAGCAAGGGGAGGCATACCCAGGGATGGAAAACCCCCTCCATGAAGAACTAAATAATTATTCAAATTATTTCCTCATGGATTTCTCACTCTAGAAAAAGGCAGGGATCCCAAGGGGATTTGAGTTTCCAAATTAGCCCTAAACGGGCTTCATCAATCTGTAAAAGTATTCCCATTCCAAGTGGGCTGTCCCTTGAGGTAAGCCACGTAGAGGCTGAAGCAAGGTACTGCGAGCTGAACCATTATGCCACACAGATTATGGGAACCTAGAAGTCTTCGTAAGGTTTTTTTTTCTGCAGTACAAAACCAACTACATGCGAGTGCTGACTCCAATGTTGCTTGGTATTCAGGATTCCAGGTGTCTCTTGGTATGACAAAACTGTCCATTCATTGAGAAGTGTAATTCAAACATCCTTTTTTGCAAGTATGTATCATTAAACTTGATTGAAATTCAAACCATTCAATTTTTTCAAGAAGGATTACAAAAAGATCACCTTCTTTGTCATGATGGATGAATTTACATCTTAACAAGAACAATACTTTCTAAGGCTCTAAGCATACCATCTAATAGCTTGGATGTAGCAATTTTGGGAATATTTTTATTCTTTTTGATTAGGACGGGAACATTTATTCCTTTTTGCCTGCTTGCCTACACAGAGAAGGTTTCACCTTCTCCGAACTGATCTTACTTCCTATGAACCAATATTAATCAGACATGTCACGAACATGCAGCTTCAACCGCAAGGCTTTTTGTCACCCCTGTGCATGGATTTCCAAAGTAAGTCGACGACACTGGCACGCTGCAGCTGCTCACTCCGATGCAAGCCTGCAGAGTCCCAGTAACACTATCAGCAACCCATAAGAATCAGTTGATACATTGAGACATGAGAATGGAGCAGCTTGTAGTTACCTCCTGAACAACTGAGAGAGTCTGAGTGCTGCTGCATTCGCCGTGCCTGTAGCTTCCACATGTGCCGCTCGGTGTCCCAAAGCTTGCAAACTTGATGCTGCTGATGACCTGGCCATCTTTTGGGCATTCCAGGCGAAGTGCAGGTCCATATCTCTGCTGTTGAGAAGAATTCCAACTATCAACTTGGGCTGGATGTGCCTCTGATACTTGTGCGCACACACTTCCTGTCTGCCTTATCACAAAGGATATCTTGCTTGGGTCACCGCCAAATTGCTCGAAAAGGACTAGATCATTGCTGCCTGGTTGGAGAAACGAACGGGGAACATGGTACCTGTTTAACAAGGTAAAAATCCAATTAATAAATAGTCATTCAGTTCCTGCAGTTGCTATATTGTTGTGCAACATCAGAACACGCTGCTAAAGTGCTCAGCGTCACAGTGTGCATGCTTTATGTGCCATAGTTTAAAGGGCGTACCCAGTACAGAGAGCTCCCGCTCTGTGCGGGGTCTGGAGAAGGGTGTTAGTGACAAGCCTTACCCTCGCCTGTGCAATGCGAGGAGACCGCGACTCGAACCCGGGACCTTCCGGTCAAAGGCGGTAAGACTCTACCGCTTGCACCAGGCCCTTCTTCCTTATGTGCCATAGTTTCAGTACTTAAAATCTAGCAGGGTGTAAATCTTCAGAAATGTAAATTGCTATTAAGACCTATATGTTACAGACAGATCTGGACATATAAAATTGACATAGATGAAATACTAGGACTGGCTTTGCATGTAGGGAACAAAAGGAACTAATGAAAATATTATAGAGCATACTGGGGGGGGGTGGGGGGGGGTGGAGATGTGGAAGTCTTACAAAGTCTGTGATGGCTGGCCACACTTCTTGAGGCATTTGTTTGAATTGTAGTTTCCTCTGTAGTTGCACGAGTTGACACAGCCACTCTGTGGAGCCAGATTTGTTGGCCAGTATCGACCAATGCTCTGTCCGTTCACCCATGCTTCGCCTTTCCCCATTCCCGTGAAGTCAATTGCAACAGGATCATCACCAGCAGGAGGCGTGAACTTGGTCTGTGTTTGGAGACTTGCAGTTAGCACATCAACCCAAGGCAATTCTAGGGAAATGGGTTAGCCAAACAAATAGAATGTATATATCTTGTCTTTTAAGCCCATACTGGGTGTGTTCAAATGCTGTATATGGATTGGTTCCTTGGTCAGATGATCATACATTCATACTGACCTTGTACCAAATCAGTGGTTGATTGATTGGATAAGCATTGGCTGAGACCCATTCTGGTGAGGCTTCTGAAGGATCATATAGGTGCAAATCTTCTCCTCTGAGTCCAATCTGATCAAATTATGATTAATAAATGTGAATCACGATGCATCTTTGGTCAAATGGAGCTCAAAGTAGAGTTTAGGCTACCTGGTATGTCCATTCTGCAGAAGACAGATCAAGCGCACCATTTGTTCCACTCAGCTTTACTGGCCCAGTAATTCCAGCACCTACCAGGTCGAAGAATGCACCATAATTCTGTATGAACAGTGAAGGCGAGGGTAAATTTATGTTATAAATCTGTTACAGCAAGTCACATATTGCAAAATGGAGTGGCATATTTCATGTTTTCCATAGTGAAGGTTATTTACCGACAGCCCAACTGTTGCACTTAGAAGATCTATTTTGTTCTTCCCAGGTACAAGTTCAATTGGTTTCTGCCATGAGATGAGTGAGCTGCTTGCACTACCTTGTGCACTTCCTGGCAAGATTTTAGCACATATATCTCAGAACACAAATTTGATTTATGCATGAAAGACCCATGTTAAGAAAATCAGAACCACAATTAAATGACAGATGGAAGGAATTGGTGCTATCTTCTCGAGCAGTACCTGCAATTTTACCATTGATGTAGACCTGAAGAACATGTCCAAGTGAGTTGACAACCAGATTGGACTGGCTGCCATTTAGATAGGGTTCATCACCTTTAACTGTGAAGCTGCACAAATTACATTAGTAGCACAACGGTTAGTAAAAATTTGTTTTGTCAGTGTACATTACCGTATGCATAATTGCAATAAGGCATGTACCTTGTTGAGTACCAGAGGAAATCACTGGCATCTGCTGTGGTGTTTATCTGCTCCATCAGTCCAGCCTTTGTCAGTGCATTGTCCTTTGTGATACCTACAGGCTCTATGGCATAGCTCCAGCCAGATATGGCCAGTTCTGGCGTGATGAATGAGCCATCTGATGCCAGGTTGCTCGATTCCAAGTATCTCATTTCTAAACTCGTCACTTGAGAATTGATCTGCAATTTGTAGCCACGTATATCTGAATCAGATTAATGGTCAATCTTTCTTTCCCAACACAAGTGCAAGGAACTTATGTGTAAATTGTAATTATATGTACCTGAGCTGTGTTAAGTACCACATTCTTGCAGTCAGGAAGGATGCTGACAGACCACGCAGGGAGCCTGTACATTCTCCCATTGAAGGTGACGGTTTTATCAGATTGACCATCTATGTTGGCAAGGAATGCTGCGCAAACTGAACCAGTCTTGTATACCGCTGCCTGAAGATAGAAGAATGCAGACATCGTTTTATAGGGACCAGACAATGAAGGTAAATATTTTCTTCAGAACAAAATTTGCTACATTTCTGCAATGCTGCTGAACGTTTACTTGTTTTGTCGTCTCAAAGACACTTTTTGTTGAAAAATGAAGATGCTTTTTGTAAAGGAGGACATACCTCAGCATTTGGACCTAGAGAAGTGTATGACGGATCAGTTGCTATGAGCGCTGGTTCGCAGAGCTTTATGGCCTTGTGCACATCCCTCAAGTGCCCCCACTTTGGCTGCCTGACTAGTCCTGAATCATCACAATATTGAAATGGGGGGCAAATAAATCAACAGCGATTTTTTGTGTGGGGTGGAGTGATAAAATATGTCTCCTTGATCCTTCATCCATGCTAACGTGACATACTGACATGTCGTGATCGCCTAACATAAATTTTTGTTACGGTATTGTTATGGCCAAACATTTATTTTGCCCCGTGAAAATGTCTTCGTCACGTGGGTGGGTGGGTGGGTGGGAG